TCCTTTAAACAGTTGTTTTCTTCATCTATTCCAGTGCAATGTTCATTACATATCCACTCATATCCTACTCTCATCCCAAACCCTCATGTCAGACTTGCTTTGTAAGAGTGGTGCTATGTGATATAACTTCACCCTAGTAATGATAGCAAACATTCACAGAGCAGCAAACAATAAATGCTGACAAGGCTGTGGAGAGATTCAAGTTCTGGGAATATAAAATGGTGCAACACTATGAAAAGTGGTTTGGTGCTTTCTCCAAAAAATTAGAATATCATTTGACCCAGCAATGCCACTACTGGGAATATACCTTGTTGTTGTTGCTATTGTTGTTATGTGTCATCAAATCACCTGTGACTCATAGCGACCCTGTGTACAACAGCCCCAAACCCTGCTCTATCCTGTGCCGATTTCACTGACACATCTACCCCGATTACCCCAGTCACTGAATCAATCCACCTCATAGAGGGTCTTCCTCTCCTGTGCTGTCCTTCCATCCTCCCAAGGATGATGTCCCTCTCCAAGGACTGTTCCTCCTTGCAACATGTCCAAAGCATGTCAGATGAAGCTTCAGAATCCTTGCCTCCAAGAAGTAGCCTGGTTTAATCCTCTCTAAAAGGAACCTGTTTGTTTTCTTAGCAGTCCATAGTATATCCAATACTTTTCTCCAACATCACAGCTCAAAGGCATCAATTCTCCTTCTGTCCTCCCTACATTGTACAACTCTCTGATGCATAGCAAGTGATTTCAAAGACCATGGCCTGTATCAGGTGCACCTTAATCTTCAGAATGACATAACTGGCTCTTCATTACTTTGGAGAGGTCTCTAACTTTCCCGGCATAATATGTCTTTTAATTTCCTGGCTGCTGGTGCCAAGAATGTTGACTGTGGAGCAAAGCAAACTAAAGCTGTTAACAATCTCAATTTCTTCACCATCAATCCTGATGCTGCCAATTGTCCCAGTGGTGAGAATCTTTGTTTTCTTGATATTGAATATCAATCCATATTGAAGGCCGCCGTCCTTGACCCTCTGCAGCAAGCGCTTCAGGCCCTCCTCAGTTTCAGCAAGCAGAGTTGTGTCATCTGCATTACGCAGATTGTTGATGAATCTTCCTCCAATCCTGATGCTATACTTCTCCTCATACAGCCCAGTCTCCTGTATAATCTGTTCTGCATATAGGTTAAACGGTACAGAGTAAGGACATATCCCTTGCCAATTTTGAATCATGCAGTGTTTCCTTGCTCTGTTCTGACTACGGTCTCCTGGTCCAAGTATAGGTTTCGCATTAGCACAATTAAGTGTTCTGGAATTCCCATTCTTCTCAGAGTTAGCCACAGTTTGTTATGGTCCACATAGTCAAACATCTTTGCATAATCAATAAAACATACATAGACATTCCTCTGGTATTCCCTGCTTTCAGCCAAGATTCATCTAGGACCATGACCCCTTCTAAACCGAGCCTACACTTCTGGCAGTTCGCTGATGTGCTGTTCCAGTCATTTTTGGATAATCTTCAGCAGAATCTTGCTTGTATGTGACATCAATGATACTGTTCAATAATGTCCACACTCTGTTAGATCACCTTTCTTTGTAATGGAAAAAAAAATACAGATTTCTTCCAGTCAGTTGGCTAAGTGGTTGTCCTCCAGATTTCTTGACATAACCTAGTGAGCACATCTAGGGCAGTATCTGTCAGTTGAAATATGTCAACTGGTATACCATCAACGTAATATATATTAAAGAAACCATAAGAAATATTCAAATAATATATATTCACACCCATGTTTATTGCTGCATTATTTACATTTGCAAAGATATGGAAGCAATTCAAGTGCCCATCAACCAATGAATGGATAGGAAAAAATGTAGTATATTCACACAGTGGGATACTATACAGCACTGAAAAACAATGAATTTAAAAAATTTACCCAGCATGGGTGACTCTGCAGATCATTATTGTTGAGTGAAATAGCTCAGTCACAAAAGTGGCTTGCTTTCTTAATACCTCTAAATTCTTAATAGGAATATAAAGATACTCAAGAACATTTATATCAATATAATGTACATCTGTAAAAATTTGAATTGGTAAAAGGTCTGCGATATATATTGTCACAGAACTGAACTATGTTCTCTGATACTATGTTCTGCCAATTTTACTGGACTCCGATTCTCAGTAATCTTGTAATGGATGTAGAAAAGAATGATGTTGTCAACTGCTGTATTTCACTTGGATCCAAAATGAATATCCAGGGTTATAGCAAGCAAGAAATCAAACAACACTGTATTGGAAAGTATGATGTCAAAGAGGTCTTCAAAGTGAAAAAGAGCAAGAATTTCAGTTTAAAGACTAAAATACGTATGATCCAATTTATTTGGCCTTTCAGTTACCTTTTACATATGTGAAAGTTGGACAATAAAAAAGGATGGCAGAAAAGAAACTGATGCCGTTGAGTTGTGGTGTTGGAGAAGAGTTATGAATAATCCCATGTACTGCCAAAAGAGCAAACAGGTCTGTCTTCGAGGAAATGCAAAGAGGGTGCTTCTTAGAGACAAAGATGGGAAAAACTTCATCTCATATACTTTTGACATCTTGTCAGAAGAGGTCAGTCTTTGCAAAAGGACGTTATGCTGGGACAGGTGGAGGACCAGAAAAAGGGAAGACCCTAAACAAGATGGGTTGACAAGTGTAAAAAGAGGAAGGGCCACATGCGGACAAACATATCTAAGCTTTACCAGCTTCACAAAGGGGAAGTGTCCCCATCAACAGCATCAATAGCACCAAACCAATTTCCATGAGGTCAGACATGCCACCCACAATCCCTTACCTCTTTCTACTCATCTCAACACCAATCTTACTGCTTTGCTGGGTCCAAAATCTGATGTGATAGTGCACAGACCAAAGAGAACCATATTGCAGACGTCAAAAGGTTATAATCCAGATTAATAATAGAATACAGTCAAGATAGCTCCCAAAATGTGCATACAGTCACCTCAGCTTTGGGCCTTCAGACTAGTGGTTCCCAAGTTCTCAGTCCTGTCAACATTGGCTTTCCACTCTCACTTGTCAAAAAAAGTTCTGTTTTGCCAATGCTGGCTTTCCCACTCCCCAGGTCCCATCTCATAGCAGGTCTCCAGTTTGGCTATAGTTGTTGCTGGAGCAGGGGGGCTGTTCTACAATGTCTTGCTTTCTCTTTAATGGCACCAGAAGATCTATTTGTCCTTCACTCTGGCTTGCTCAATTCAATAGCAAGATCAGCTACTCCCCTTGTAGATTCACATATTCCTGCCCATTTACATAGCAAAATCAAATAATGGCTAGTAAAATACACAGTGAAAAATAAACTCCACACACAGTGACAGTATTGGCACAGGAAAGAGAAAGGTTTAGATCTGTTCATAGATGAGTTGTAGGTAATTTGATGCTACCTAACAACCAAAACAACAGGATTTTGAGTGTTTCTATCACAGCTCAGATGCAATGTGAGGGGAGTTTTCCTGTGGCACAGGCTGCAACTTTTATCTTAGAAGAAGGAAAATGAAAGGAAAAAGCAGACAGCCAGGTAATTTTGCTATTGCCAGGGTAGAGTATGACCCTAGGACAGAAGTCCCTATACTGAGATCTTTCTTAACACAGGAAGTCCAAGACTCAAGATGCTAAGAAATGGGAGCTTTACTGATGCTGAAAAGAGACAAGGAAATTCCCTCTAAACTGTGGGTCAACAGAGAAGGAAAATCTGTCCTAAAACTAGTACCCTGAATTGAAATTTTTAATTCTTTAAACTATAGAAAATATATTTCTGTTCAAGTCATTCATTTGTATTTCTAATATACCAGCAGTACATTACTTCTATAATAGCAGTACCATATAACTACTCTGGTGGCCTTCTGGTAAGAAATTCTGCTGGAATTCCAAAGTTAGATGGTTTAAATCCACCAGTTGCACCATAGAAGGAAAGGAAGTCTCTTCATGTGTGATTTTGTTGTTGCTGTTGTTAGGTCTAGCTAACTTAAGAGCCAGAACAATCCTATGAATAATAGCTCTGGACACTGTCCTATTCTGTGCCATCCTCCTAACCTCTGACACACTCAAACCCATTGCTGCAGTCACTTTGTCAATTCACCTGGTTGAGGGTCTTTCTCTTCTTCACCGTCCCTCTACCTTCCTAAGCACGTGTCTTTTTCTGAGAAATAGCCTCTCCTACGAACATGTTCAAAGTATGAGATGAAGCTTTGTCATCTATGCCTCCAAGGAGCCCTCTGGCTGCACCTTCTCCAATACTATCTATATGTACTTTTGGAAGTCCACAGGATCTTTAGCACTCTTCTTCTGTCATCCTTATTCACTGTCCAACTCTCAGATGCAGACCTCAACTTGAAC